TGACATATAGGTTTTGAGCCGCTCTGTATCTCTGCATCAGCAATCGTCTTTTCTTTTATTTTCTCTACCAATCGTACGGCCCAGGATAGGTTGAAATTTTTAGATTTCCTTCAAACTCAGATTTGTACGCGATCTCCCTCCGATCATCGTACGTTGGCACTCTCCGATGCTTGGCTGAAAAACATTTGTTGGTCAAAGTCGTGTGTAACAGATGTGAAGCTTTCTTCCACCAAAAATATGGCATTGCAAATGCTGATCCCTCGATCCTTTGCTCTTATTGCGCACATTTTTTTAATTTTCTGCAGGTCTTTCTTGTCTGTGATTGTACAAAATGCAATATATTAAGTATAAGTTTAAATAATGATGTAATTCATTAGAAATGAGATGTTAGTGAATCACCTTCTCAAATGGATACATCCATCATATTACTTTCGGTTTTCCAGCCTTAATACACATTCCATAGGGCAATGATTTAACCGGCAGATGTTTCCATAGAATCAAAGGAAGTCCGGTGTGGGAAAAATTCGCTCCAACTTGCACATCACTACTGGGATTTCTCGCTCGCTAATTGGTCCATTATTCATTTTCATCGGATAATAGTTCATCGTCAATTCCTTGAAAAAAGATGGACTCTAATTCTGTCATTTTGCTTCCCATACCATTTTTTCTGGGTAATAATTTCCCGGGAATTGCCACAGGGTTCAATCTTTGCATAAAACATGTCAGGTCATGGGCTTTTCATGCCAAACCCAATCTTTACTTCCTCATTTGTCCACCACATCTACCCATATTTTGAACAGTTAGCCATCTGGAAACCTTAATTGATCGTAATTCCATCGCACAATAATTTGTTTCTTTTGGGTTATCTAAACTGAATAACATGCCTTCGAACTTACTCAAGTAATTACAGATGCTCGAGTTCTGGTCGACGACAAATTTCCTTCATTGTCTTTGCTCTCGCTTTTGCATTAATCTTTGGTTTTTCCCCTTCAATTGTTCATGATAGTTTGAATAGATTTTCGAAATTTTTTTCTCATTGTGCTATGACATCAAGGTTATGACGGTAAGAATGTGGAACTCTTCAGTATGGCAAATCCAGTTAAGATGCTTCGGCTTTTTTCACCCGCTATTCCTTGCCAATTCTTGTATTTACCTCATCTGCACCAAACTCTGTAACTTTTTCATTAAGCGCCCATTGATCTTCAATTTCTTTGTAATATTTCTGCTCCAGTACTCTTCACAGGTGGAGGGGTCTTTAACAATTAGTTGTGTTTTCTTTTTCTAAAGCCATTGTCGATTTCTCCTCCAAGGGTGAGATTCTGGGTAAGAATTTTAGGATGACCCAATCCAAAACCAACATTGTTTACCTCCATTTCCTTTTTAGTGTAATATGCCTTAGTGTTTTCCATGCAATGTGAGGGAACAAGACAAATTTGCCAGCGTACTCCACCCAGATAACATTCCAAATTGCTGGAAATCACTGATGGTCCCAAAGCACAAGCGCTCGTAGTATGATTAATTTCTGAATTGGCCGAAATAGTCTGAATGTTTTCAGCCCCATATTCCCATAATTAATTAATTTAAGTTTCGGCAATCAAAGGCTGTTCTTGCAGAAACACATTCAATTTTATGTTTTGATTAGTAGGGGTCCCAGGAAACAATAAACCCACCAAAAACATATATTCATCTTTTTCATACACATGACTTAGTGTAGATTATATGGTGTCACAATGACATGGCCTATGATGAATATGTTGTTCCTGGATCTGGCCAAACGGCCTGAACCCATCGTACTTAAAGCCCCAATCTCACATTTCTCATTATCAGCAGCAAACACAGGTCATGAAATGTTTATTCAAAATGTTTCCACGCTTCAGGAGTTTTTGCTGGATGAGCTCATGTTATTACCATCATATTCTCATGCAAAGCATGCCATGTTTTCATGGTGTTTTAGCTGCCTTTCGCCTCTAAGATGGCATATAAAACCTTTTGAAGGCTGAGGAAAACAAGAGGGGAAAATAATACATCTTTCTTAAAAGCCTTCTTTCTCTTGTATTTCTTTTACCAGTCCCTTGACCCCCTTGTTAATAT